CCTGGGCCAGTCAGGGGAAGCTCTGGCAGGCCCTGATGTATGACCCATACTCTTATCCCAGGGTCCCCCTCTCTGGGTCCTCCTTTACAGATGTGGGGAGCTGGGGTACCTCACACCATGACTGGTGCCTCAGGGTCTCACAGAGGACTCTCACTCCCTCCCTAGGCAGCAGGTCGTGGTGCTACAACTGGTGTCATCTTTGACCTACACTCTGCCTCCCAACAGTGGAGGACTTATTGGAGTCAGGGTTCAGCTCCCGCTCTCTGGCTGAGCTCCCTCTCCCTTCACAGGGCTCCACATCGCCCTCTCTCTGGGGCTTCTGATCACTGCCCCCTCTCAACTGGGGCTCAGATGTTATATTTGACCCAAACTCTGCCTCCCAGCATTGGAGGACTTACTGGGGTCAGGACTCAGCTCTCTCGCCCTCTGGCTGAGCCCCCCTCTCCCTTCACAGGACTCCACATGCAGCCCCCCTCACACTGGGGGCTCCACACTGCTCATAACACCCCCTTTACTCGGGATCTTGGGGCTTCCCTCCACAGGTGGGCTCAGGTGGCCATAGCCATGCCTGGCCCCAACTCTCCTCCTCGGGGTCTCAAACCCCCACAACTACCTCCAGTGTATCGCGGCCCAACCTAAGGTGAGGGCTAGGGGTTAAGGTGCCCTGACCTGCCTTTCACTGGGGTGGAGCCACCCACTCTTGGCAGGGTACAGTTTCTGGTCGTACCCAGGACCAGGAGCCTCCTACCATCCCCTTACCTCCAGATGAAACTCGGCAGCCCTCAGGCCAGGTGATGTTGTTGCCTCTCCTCCAGCAGCCAAACTGTCTTGTTTATATTGGCAGCCCTGAGCCTAAAATGGCTGCCCTCATTAGGCACCTGGAGGCTGCCAGCTCCAGGGCCTTAAAGTGGCAGGCACACATAGTGCCCTGCCACAGTGACAAACTTCTTCCTAATCTCCAACCTAAATTTCCCCTGCTTCCACTTCAAGCCATTGCTCCTAGTCCTATCCTTATGGACACAGAGAAAAGCCCATCTCCATCTTCTTTATAATCACTCTTTAGGTATCTGAAGACTTACCAAATCCCCCTCTCAGTTTTCTCTTCTCCATATTAAAAATTCTTAGCTTTTGCAGCCCTTCCTTGTAAGTCATGCTTCCCAGGCCTCCAGTCATTTTTGTTGCTCTCTGCTGGACCCTTTCCAGTCTGTACACATACTTCTTAAAGTGTGTGGCCCAGAACTGGACAGAGTACTACAGGATAGGCCAAACAGTGCTGAATAGAGTGGAAGAATCACTTCCTTTGATTTCCAAGTGACACCTGTTAGTACAACCCAGTATACTGTTGGCCTTTTTTTTTGCTACAAAAGCACACTGTTGGCTCAAATTCAGCTTATGGTCCACTGCAAACCCCAGGTCCTTCTGTACAGTCCTGAAGCCCAGCCAGTCATTCCTCAGTCTGTATTTGTGCACACAATTATTCCATCTCAAGTGTGAGACTGCACTGTCTGGGTTGATTCATTCATCTGGTGAATTGCAGACCATTTTTTCAGTCTATCCAGGCCATTTGGGATCCTAGCTCTACCCTCCAGAATGTCTGCAACGCCACCCCACTTGGTGTCATCCAAAAATTTGTAAAGAGTGAACTCAATCACATTTTCATAGTCATTAATGAAGACATTAAACAATACCAGACCCAGGGAAGACCTCAAGGAATCCACTTGATACCTATCCACTTGATAACTAGACACTGAGCCACTGATGACTACTTATTGATGTCCAAGATGCATCTGCTTCTGGCCAGGCATCTACCCTTGACTGGAAGTATTGATTAGAACACAACCTGCACCCAGAGCCAGGTAGTCACACTTGATGTGTTCAAGGTCACCTCTGTCGGTATCATTAGCGCTCACATTAATGAGCAGCATGGAATAGCAGTTAGAGGGTTGGAAAGGTTGCCAAGACCCATCTGTGATGTCCCCGAACTGCTACATGCCACACACAGAGGCTGCCCATGCCACTTTTCACATGGCTGTCCACCCCTGGTCTATGCCATGTCCCTACCTCTGCTCTCAATCCTGCCCCACCCATTCCCCCCTAGCCTGAAACTGCAGGCCACTCAGGTGTCTGCCCTTCAACCACCGTAGAACATGCCAGAAACCCCAAGGTTCCAAGAATAATCCAGAAGGGATTGCCCCCAAAGCAGCCTCACTGCCACATTTCCAGAGTTTGTGCAAATGGGCAGAGCATGAATCCCCAGTGATAGGGATGCATTATAGACACACCCCAGTTCCTTGCTGGTAAAATAAAGATAGAAGTACTTTCTACCTCTAGGAGAGTTGGGAAGATTAATGTATTATACATGGAGTAGGGGAAAAAACTGCAGTACATAGGTATTATTGTTCATTAAGAACAGTAGTATCTGCATGTCTATTCATACTGCTGCAGTAAGAGTGTTAAAGCAGCAAATAGCCTGATCTGTCTGTATAAAACTGCTCTTAGCTGAGCTCTCCCGTACACCTTCTACCATAACATTATCTCTTCTGATTTACAATACAGAGTATTCAATTATCATTAGCTGCAGCCTCATAGCACTATGTCTTCCCTTGTTTGTAGTGACCCATTTAAAAAAAAAAAGCACTTGCACATAAGATCTCTCTTCTTCCAAGTATTCTTCTAGTCTACCAATAATCTGTCATTTGATTATTTGTTTTCATGCTATTATTCTATATTCCGAAATAAAATGTATTTGAAATTGATTACCCTAGTGTCCTACAGTACCTGTCGGTATGGTATCTCCTCAGAGCTGAACTCTAATTCTCTTTCATAAACAAATGAAAAACTGGTAGAATAAGTAAAAGTAGGCACATGGGGAACACAGTCATTAAAAGGCTTCAGAATTAATATCCAGCTGGAAATTACCTATGACTTAAATGCTCTATATAGAATAGTAATCCTAATAGTACATTAGAGTCTGTAGTGTTCCAGCATTTTAAATTAATTGAAGTCAAACAAAAGCATCCAGCTGATAGTAAGGCACAGAATTGTACTTTCTTTTCCATGGCCTTGATCTTGCAAATCCTTAAGTAATGTGATTCATTTAATTTAGATGAGTAATTCTGTTGATGTTAATGGAGATAGTTAATCAAGTCTTGCAAGATCAGGGTCCATATCAGCTCTCAGAACCACTAAAAATAGCCCTCAGCAGCTGAATCTGTTTTAAACCCTTTGTTTTATTCTTCCAAAGAGAGAGAAAGAAAGAAACACTCTCCAGTAGAAAGGATCACAATAGATACCAGCGCTTCAAAGCTCCCAGGGGCTCACAGAAATGTAAATTTCAAGAATGTCCTACTTTGAAAAGTGATTCCATTAAAAAAAAGGCACAGATTATGGGTTTGTCTTCATTTTCTCTCTGCAGCTCCCTCAGACTTGCTCAGCTTAAATAAAAATAATTCTTCTCTTCCTCCATGAGCCCTGCAGCCAATGGATTAATTTCTTACATCCAACCTACCTTAAAAATTCCCTTTAGAGCTTCCATTCATTGTAATATTTTTCTTCATTTCCCATAATAAATCAAAGCATAATGTTTCTGTTGAATATTAACAGCTGCTCTGTACTACCCTAGACGCATGTGTACATGGAAAATACTTAGTCCCGTGTGTGCAGTCCCAATGAAGTCAAACAAAAGTTAAAGACGCTGCTTATGAGTTTAAAGTTGCATATGTGCTTAACAGAATGAGGAACACTGGCTGTAAAGTGCTTTGGGATCATTTTAGCGTGAAAGAAACATAGGCATTGCATTATAATAAAATGCTTTAAATAAAACAACAAATGTAGTAAAATTAACTATAGGAAATAAGCTTACATGTCTATTATTTAAACCAAATGATTTACCCATTAGACCTAAAGCCTTTAATTGTTTTAAGAGTAGATATGTTAAGTGCTTATGTTGGCTGCTTTCTGATAATTAATCTGTCAAGAACTGGGTCATTTCCAAACCTACACATGTATTCGTTCTCCTAAGAAAACCATTATCTTGATTTTGTAAACTGTTGTTTTGAGATTACTGATCAATGGGAATTGGATGGAAAAAAGAAGCTTCAGAGATGGTTTGCTGAGATACCACATGAGATTTGAATGTTGAAATGAATAGGCTGGCCTGGCTTCCATTTAGGCTAAAATATTTGATATTGATTGTATAATAAATAAATGCAGGAAACTTCAGGGATTCTCACATTTTCTTGCACCTTTTCTATCTACTCTTTAGCAAAAGGTGTATATAGTACAAAGTCTGTATTTGTATCTTTACCCATTACAGGAGATCATCAGTTAAGATTAAGTATCCTTACCAATTCATCATAGGGAACAGGGCTGGAAGGAGCCCCCCTCCCCCAAATCACTCAGTCTTAAAGTAACAAACCCCTAGCCCAGTCCAGATTTCGTCCCTCCTCCCCATCCTCCCTTCTACCTCCCATCCACAACACTGCATGCCCTTGTAGACAGACACAGATTTAAAGTGTAAAAAAATGAATCTATTTTACAACAAAGCACTAGGTGGTGTTGTCAGCAATATATCCTGCCAGACAATCGCGTACAAGGGCTGCCCAACCAGCCTCCCCTTGAGGGTATCTCCTCGGTCCCTGTGCTGCTGCCCCACATCTCTGTTGTCTGGCCATGCTGCTTCTTCCCATGACTCCTTGAAAACCTCTGTGGCTCTCACAGATATTGTATTGGAGGAAGCGCCCTCCATCATCCTTTCAGTCAGCCAAATGCACATTCCACGGCCATCCTGCAACTGCTCAGGCGGTAGTTAAAAAACAGCTTCTGCAGGTCTCCATAAGTCTTCGTGAGCCAGGGCTTTAGCGGGGAGGTAGCATCCGCTAATATAACTGGGGGGAACGGTGACACTGTGGATCACTGTTTCCTCCGTGCTGAAAGGTGCTACATGCAGGATAAAGAAAACATTACATTGCAAAGAAAGCATTAAAAAAATCATTTTTGCATCGCACCTCCCATAACAGAACAGCTTACAAAGAAAAAAAAGAAGCTATTTTGGAGCTGTGGCAGCGGGCGTTAACCCCAACCCCTCACACCCCTTGGCAATCATGCATATGAAATGCATTATAACGCAGACTTACTGAAGTCATTAAAGACTTGCTAAAGGCTAAAGGCACTGGGAGGTCCATGCGTGGAGAAGTTTTGCAGACTGCCTGCTTGCCATCGGGGGGGGGCGGGGCTTGAATAGTCTTTTTTTCTTACAAGACATGCTGGCTGCACCACACCCTAGCTAGCACTCATCAAGCATTCCACCTCCCTCCTTCTGATAACAGTTCACCCTGCGACTCTGCAGTTCTTTCCAATAATGCCATGACTCCATAAAAAACCCCCAAGCACAGCATCCCCACCACGCTGAGGCGGGCGCGGTCTCTGAAAACCAACCCAACCACCCACTCACACCAAAGAAAACATGACACTTACATAAAGCAAAAATAAAAAACTTTACTGAAAATGCTGCAGCTCAAAAGCTCATCTTAACAATATAAAACACATGTACAAATATATATATTAAAAAAGGCGGGGGGTAGGTATTTTCAATGCACTTCTCTACGCCTCATCACTGGATCAAGTAATTAAAGGACATACTAAAACAGAAGCAATCCACAGAGTTCTGCCATTTGAGTGCAGAGAATAATTTATAGTAGTAGTGAGATTAAAACCCTTGACATGGGCCAGCAGTAGAGGAGAAGTCACCTTATATTTGTGTTAGGCATCACCAGGGGCAGAAGCCAGGGGTGCAGCAGCTCAGCACTCCATGTATAGTGAGGTCTCTGAGCTCACCTGCATATCAGAGCAGCTTCTGACAGAGTTTTGTGTGTTGTGACCTCTGAGCTCAACAGCAGACTGGAAATCAGGCCAGAGTCTGTTTTCACACAACTCTGGAGCACAGGGGTTGAACACCACTGCCCTTTGCTCTCCCTGCTTCCACCTCATCCTCTCCCAACTTCTCCGCTGAAGTCAGCAGCAGGAGAGGAGTGGACAGGCAGCAGAGCTCAGCTCTTGGGATCCAAAGCTATGTGAAAACAGGGCTGGAACTGCTCACCTCCTCTCTCTCCCTGGCTTCTCATGGTCCCATTCTCAATGCCTACCCAATTTCCATCTCTTAGCCCATCCCAACCCCTTCCATTCCATCCCAACCCCTTGCTCCTTGCCCAGGCAGTCCTAGTCTCCCCCTCCAGGCATGCTATTTGGAGGTCAAATTTTCCATCCATGCACCCTCGGTTTCCAAGCCTCATTCTCAGAAACAAGTGGACTGTTTTGCTCAACTTTTCCCACAAAATGACACACCAAGACAACATCCAGCATGTAAGATTTCAGCCCACGATTAATATTTAGCAACAGTACAAGCAGCTGAAAACAGTGTTTTATAATAGGAAGCATCAAGCAATCTTAATATTTATTTTACTGTCAGAGAATGGGGGGAAAACAGACTTCCTGTCTTCCCCCAACCATATAGGGGATCCTTTTTTTGCCTATTATTTTTCCATACTCCTATTTCACCCTGCCTTCAGTTCTTTTTGTTTCTTCCTGTTCTTTCGGCCTTTTGTGTTCCTAACCAGCATTTTACTATTGCTTTTGGGTGCATTTTACAAACATGTCATGCTTCAAAATAGCAAAAAACTAAGAGTCTGACACTTCTCCTCAGCAGAGAAGGAAGTATTTGTGGCATTGTAAGAGTAAGCTCAATTATTCATGCAACATCTATTACTTGTGGTGTGTAATGGCAGTGCTCCTATTTATTGTTATTTTTAAGGACATAAATTAGCTTATGTTTTGACAGCTGAAATGAGCAGATATGCAAAGGTTGGCAGAGACTATTTTTTTTATCAGTAATTTAGACTCTGGGGATATCTGGGGCCACTGCTTAAATTAATCTGCAGGCAACTTTAGAACCGGGAATATTTAAGTGACTAGAAATCCAGTTGCTTTTGAGGCTGGGAGGTTGCCACTGGGAAGGGATATTGGTCAGACAGGATTAGCAGAGGAAGCAATGGGTAGCCAATTTTATTGCTACTGATAAGAACAGTAACATCCTGAGTTCAGAGCAAGAAAGAAAGATAAAGGAACTTAAACACGTAGAAAAATAGGGCTTGAGGTGACCTCAGGAGGTCATCTAATCCAGCCTGCTCTCTCTCTCTCTCTCTAACTGCTCTTCCACAACCTCTGTGGGTCACCTGTTCCAATGCTTAAATACCCTCATAGGGAGAAAGTTCTTCCCAATATTCATCCTAGATTTTCTTTCCTGCAATTTGAGACTATTACTCCTTGCCTCATCCCCTGAAGTCACAGTGAAGAGAATTGCTATGCTCTTGAAAACCACTCTTCAGGTATTTAATGACTGTTTATCTCAACCCCCATCCACACCAGCCTTCTCTTTTCCAGCCTTTCCTTGTAAGTCATGTTTCCCAGGCCTCTAATCATTTTTACTGCTCTTTCCTGGACTCCAGTGTATCTACAATCTTTCTCAAATTGCATGACCCAAAAACTGGACACAGTACTCCAAGTGAAGCCTCACCACTGCTAAACAGAGCAGAGAATCACTTCCTTTGACTTGCAATTGACACTCCCATGAATACAAACCAATATTATTGGCTTTTTTGTTTTTGCACGAGAAGAGTATACTGTTGGCTCTCATTCAGCTTATAGTCCACTATAACCCCCAGGTCCTTTTCTACAGTACTGCAGCCTAGCCGGTCATCAGAAATGTGGGGCAGAAAATTTTCCAGTGCTTTATTTTTCCATGGGAAATTTTTCATTTCTAAAAATTCACCGTTTCATAAAATTCATTAGTAACAATGGATGCCAATACAATATTAGGCAAGCTTGGCAGTTTCAAGGGTGTAATTAATGTTTTTCAGGTGATTATCCCTAGGAAGTGTGTGAGAAAATACATGTATGTTTTACTGATTTCTAAACAGGAGGGTAAATACATTCACATAATAATCCAAACCAAATCAAGTTATGAATTCACCTAATTGGCTATGGTGGTCAAATCAAAACCAAAGCTAACATTCTTCTTTCATCTCAGTGCCTTAGTTTTTTTCTTAAATGTAAATAAACAATGTAAGGGAAGTACATGCTATTCTGTATTATCTTTACATCTTTACAAGTGTTCCAATGAAAATAATTTCTTTCTACATAAAGCTTTGAATTTGTTTGAATATAACATTTAAACCACATTGTGTTGTATTTAACATTTTTCCTAATCAAATATTTCAGTTCAAATAGTTGTGGCTATTGGGACATAGAATTAACATGGGGTACTTTTTCATTTTGTTTACTAAAGAAGTCAAATAAACATGCTAAATCAGATCGCGCTCTATTTAGGGCATTGGAAAATTTTCCAGTTCAAAATTTTCTGAAAAACCCATATCTCTGCCAGTCATTCCATCCTAACTGCAGGACTTTGAACTTATCCTTGTTGATTTCATTCAATTAATTTTGGTCTGTTTTTCCAGTTTATCGTAGTCATTCAGAGTTCTGAACTGCCTAGTATGTCAGTTCCACCCACCTCTATGTCATCTGCAAATTTCCAAAGTGTTCACTCAATTCCATCTTCCAAATCATTAATGAACTATTAAACAATAACAGACCCAGGTCAGCTCTCTAGAGAGCTCCACTCAGTACGTCATCCCAGATAGACACTGAGCTATTGATGTCTAGTTTTGATCTAACCAGTTTTTTATCCAATTCACTGTATTTCCATCCAGACTTTAGTTTACAAATGAGAATGTCATAGGAGACAATATCCAAAGCCTTGCTAAAGTCAAGATGTTATGAGGACTGTAGCCTTGAACACAGCACCTTGGCCTAAACAGCATAGCCATCCAACCCAACACATCACCCTGATGGTGCTCCTAAATGCTGGAGGCAGCCTGCCTAAAGCCTCCATCAGTACCTGAATCTCCACAGCTACTTCCGGTCACATGACCCTATACTTCTCTTACAAGTCCAGGGACAGGAACAGGGTGCATCTACTCATGCACTTTATTGAAGAGTAGATGGTCCGCAGTAAAGCACCACCATCTACATGTGCACCAATATTAGGGCACAGTAAATTAACTAACTCCACTGTAAAACAGTGCTACTGGGGACAGTACTATCTTACAGTGGAGTATTTACATGTGCTGAAATGCATGTGTAGATGGTGACACAGGGTGGCTGAGGCATTAGGTGCTAAAGTGCAGGGGGCTGCCTGATGCCTAGCCCCACAGTTTAGCATCCTCATGCCTCAGCCACCCCCTCCCACCACCCAACACAGCACCCAGAGCCCAGGGCTGGCACCCCCTGGACTGCCTGCCGGCCCAGGCTGCTCCACCCCAGCTCAAAATGCTGCAGTCCTGGGTGCACGTGTAGATGCTACACTCAGGAGCAATTGACTCTGGTACAAACAGTGCCAGTTTATGGCTCTGCCTTAATTGCATATGCAGATACACCCAGGAAGTGTCTGGGTAACAGAGCTTTTCCTGACCTCAAACTATGCCTCTGGTGACTCTGCCTGATGCCCTGGTTTCCTGACTCAACTTGCTTGTGGACTCTGGGCTCAGACAGAAGAGCATTTCCCCGCTGTAACTCATAGTACTTTCCAGGAAGCATTCCGAGTTACAACAATCCCCTGGACCAAACAAAAAGTTCAAGGTTAGGTCTAGGGAGGAGAGAGGGTTGGGGAATCCAGCTGCTGGCTGCAAGCCTGCAGCCAGTTTCTCCCATCAATGGCCTCTCCTTCTTCCCAGTCCAGACATTGTTTTCAGAACAGAAGGGGGGAAAGGGAGCA